GATCCAGGGAAGGACTACGTAACAATATGAAAGACTCTGGTCAACATTCCCAGCACAAGGGTGAAGAGGGTGATAATGACAGTGTGGAGTGTGAAAGGGTTTTCATGAATGCCGCTCGAAGGAGCACACCACACTACATTATAAATAAGCACGGTAAATAATTGTGACAGGGAAGGCATTATAGGAGGATATAGGAAATGTGAATAGGTCAGGGCAGAAAGGGAGATACCATAACACGTTTGTCTCTTTGACGATTTGTAATATGGTGCTACGAATGTCGATACTCACTGACGATGCCGGCAAAACGTCTGAAAATATACCACGTCCACGGTCCTAATCTGGAAATGATGATGCAAACAATGGACTTCGGACTAGATGCGTTCCTCTAAGTCTTGCTACCAATATGACCGAGTTGCGAAAACAAGGTCAAACAACTTCTATACAACGAAAGGAGACTGCGAACACACAAAAGGCCACATCACCTACGTCTTCATACCTTCGACTAAATATAGGACTGTTGCAGAAAGCGACGATATAAACGTAAATTAGTCTCCGAAGCAAAAGGGATCGTAACTACCAGATTTTCTCAATAAAATTTGATTTAAAAAAAAAGCTTATTTCAAATAATGTCATTCCATAAATCGATTTAATATATAAGTAATTTCCTAAATTTGTCAGACATAAATTAAGAAAAGTATAACGGTAGAGAAACTAAATTGTTTACACTGGGTTAAGCCATGATCACCCGTATTGGTTTTGCTCCCATATATGTGTAGCTCCTTAGTCTGTCCTTTATTCAAAGCTGTGGCTGATTTGGTCAAGCCTTCACAATTGGTGGTGACATTGGCGCCGACGAAGAAAGTAGAATTCCCTGTCATCAAGGTTAAAAGACTACGGCAGAAACCAGGCGCAGCCAAGGCAGAAAGTTTGCAGAGCTGAAAGGCGTTGGTGCAACCGAGGATGTTCGTCGCTGGTGAGACAAACGAACCTTGCATATGGACCAGATCGATACCTAAGTAAGCCACCAAAAGTCCGAAGGCTAGGCGTTTTTTAAAGCCAGATGTGATCTCATCAGACTCCTTGAGAAAGAGAAGAGTATGATAATAAGGAAGATGGAATGACAGGCCAAAGTGAAGTTGATGATGAAAAATAATTAGTGACGAATTAACGAGACAAACGATCCTGATTATCATCAAAAACCACTTTCAATGTTAGATAAGATACATTATTTAATTCCCTCAATAAGCGAAGAGGCGTAAATAAGTGTTTAACAATCAATATAGATTTAAAGAGCCTGAATTGCGTTACCCAGTAATAATAACGGACTATTGTTAGTTTATTATGGACAAAACTTAAAATTGGACATGGATATAAAGACATAGTTGGTGTAGTCTCTAATAAGACTCAGTGACATTGCTAGCGAAGCGCGTGGGAATGTACAAAGTCAGAGGTCTAATGCTGGAAATTATCATGACTACACTAGCGGAGGGCCTCGAGTATGGTGCTTCCAAATGGGTAGCCCCGACAACACGACCAAACAAAAACGAAATCAGACCACTTTTGAACTTCG